AAACAGCCTTTGGGTGGCTGTCTCAGAGGGTTGGAGGAACCTCCTTGAAAAGGTGCAGGACCTCTCTTTCCTCGCTGGGGTGAAACAGCCTTTGGGTGGCTGCTTCAGAGGGATGACCGAAGGGTTCCAAACAATGATGCCTATCTTGTAGGTGGAAGGACGTCCCCTATGGTCTCTCCCCAGGGGTTCACATCCACCCGTGCGTGACAGCTTTGTGCGCTGTGGAGACAGGAGTCCTTGACGTTTAGCGATGCCGTGCATGAGTGCTAGCAACACGCCTCTTTGGCCCTTTACTCCGGCAAGACGGTGGCCTGGCCCGGTCAGATAATCAGCTGGTCATCTTCGGGTGGCTCGAGTCAAGCAGTCATGGCGCCGCCACAATGGCTATTGGCTGTGTATACCCTCTCACCACCCCTGTAGCTGTTAGGCTCTAACATACAGTTTCCTCATGTTGGACTCCGTGGTGGGTGGGGACGTGAGAAGGTGAAATAACTGCTCAGTTTCAAGGCAAATAACTCACCAAACCCCTACAAACTGAGAAAAAAGATGATGAACCATGTAAGGCACTGATCATGGCAGTCACTCTGAAGCCATTTCTGGCTTCTAGTGGCAAGAAAAATAAAAGCTGACTACCCCTCAGACGTCCTTCCTGACAGAGATGAGAGCAAAGCTGGACCGGTCAAACCAGCAACTGGCCGGAGACCGACTCTGAGGGAGAGTCTGGACCCCCTAGGCGTTCTCCACAGTTTAAGGTTCCCTCTAACTCTGAAGGTTTCGACAATGCCTACCATCTGGTGAGGGCACTGGGAATGCAGAGAAAAATCTGTTTGTCAGTCTAGGTTGCCAGGGCATGATCATTGTCCCTAAAGATCAAGCTACCCTGAATTTCCTGCAAGAAACGAAGGAGCTGAAAGATGGGAATCCCTGAATCCCGACGATAGGAGAGTCAAGATGGTGCTACTTGGTTTCTCGTTTTCGCATGATATGGATATCACACCCACAGGTCGTGGGGCTTCCCGAATGTCGAGTGGGAAGACCCCTACCAGGCAAGTCCTGGTGACCCCGAAAGAATCCCAAATCACTACCCTTGATTTGGTTAACTGGGTCTCCAACAACCTCAGACCCTAAATGCCTGAACCACTGTGCTTCAAGTGCCAGAAATATAGCCACCACTAGCCTAGCTGCAAGGCCAATCCCAAATGTGGTGTCTGTAGCAAGGCATAAAACACCGAGGTGTGCCTTAGGGCACACAAGGAAAGACAAAGGGACACAACATCCAAATGTCCCAACTGTTATAAGACACATCATGCCTGGAGCCTGGCTTGCTCTGTCAGGAAGGAGGTGGCCCTTAGGCCACGAGAGGTTGCTAAAAAGCGACCAGACTTTGTTCCAACTCCCCCAGGCACCCATATATGGGGACAGAACAAAAGGGAAAGGCTCCTCGACCTCCTTAGAGGAAGGAACTTCCTCCCCAGCCGACACCTCCAATAAAAAGGAGTTTCCGGCTATAACAAATATTCAGAAAAAGAACCACAGGAATAAAGATTCAAAGAACACTGCAAAAGCCTCCCAAGAGACGATCCTCTCTTTGATGACTGCTGTAGTCACTGCAGTAACAACAGCTTTGAGGAGCTCGAGTGAGGAGGCGGAAACGGCAGTCACGGTCGCCATAACGGCAATGACCCAGACTGTTGCAATCCTGAAGGAGAGGAAACTGGGCAGATCCAAACCAGGTCTTACTCCACCTCAGGACGAGACCTCTTTCGCTACTCCAACCCTGGCCTAGCCCTCACAGGCAGAGCCAAAACAGCCTGAATCTTTGCAGTCAGTGCCAGAACAGGCTGACCTTAGCCAGGCACTGCCAGCGAAGGAAAAAAAAAACAAAACCTGAAAAAGCCAAGCCAACAAAGTGACCAAAGGCTCTCCCCCTCCCAGTGGATCCGTAGATAGCATGACAAACAGTCCAATAACAGACGGAGATCCCTCAGTCAGCGAGGGCAATCAGCACAATGGAGTTGTCAATCTCCGACATCTCAGATACCATTGATGGAGAAACTAGCTCTGAATCCGAATATAAAGACGTCTCAGATGTAACTAACACCAAATAGTATAATGACACACAATCTAAGCATATTACAGTGGAACATCAATGGTTTCAATACGAGAAATGTCATCCTCCACTCAAAAGTGCGATCAAGGAACACTGACAAGGTCATGCTTCAGGAGACAGTAACAGAGGGGACTGTTTGCTTCTCAGGGATTCATGTCTTCTTGCTGCCAAGCACAGCTGGCAACAGAGGCTTGAACATCTTGGCAGGGGCAACAATCCCCTGCTCCGCAATAGCCGATGCACCGCACTGTGGAGACGATATTAAATCTTTTGTTGTTGAGAATCACCTGGCGGGGGGGGGGGGGGGTCAAGCTGTACAATGTGTACAGCAGGCCTGGCTGTAGGAGCTTAGACATTGCTCTTCTCAATACCCAAGAGTCAATGCATGTCAGAGGAGGAGTCCTAGACCTCACCTTGGCCAATGCGGCTCTGGTGGAGAGAATCAGATGGTGTGTCAATGAGACACACACGTGACCACTATTGCACCATTACCACCCTCATGGATGCTGGCCCAGCCCAATTGCCACAGCCAAATCCTAGATAGAAAACAAACAAGGCCAACTCTCAAGTCCTTCAGAATGCCCTGGCCCACTGTCTTAGATGCAACGAACCCCCACGAAGTGAAAATGTGGATGTGCTTGAAGCCAGACTTATCAATGCCGTAATCAGGCAGCCTCACAAACCAAACCTAAAACTCGACCATGGTCCGGGAGATACTAAGATGCCTGGTACTTTAATGACGAGATAAAGGAGGTCAACATATGCAGAAAACAATTCCGAAGGCAAAAAAAAAAACAACAAAAAGACAATCTAGCCCTACTAAGGGAAGCTGTCGGGGATGCCATGGAAACTGCCGACGGAGCCAGGCAGGAAAAGTGGCTGGAATGGGCCACCCTTACAGAGCTGTGGCAACAGGGCAGGCGAGCTCACAGCCTCTCAGCCCCGTAGCACACACACCACGGGGCTGGTGCACGAAACCTCTATGAGAGCAAGTACCAACAGTCTGCCAGCCGAACTGAGAGCAAACCAAGAACGCCTACAACCAGGCAGACTTGCTCATATCAGAGAATGGGCAACCGATAACTAAGATGCTAGCTTTTCTCTGAGGGAACTTAGAAAAACCTACCCTATCATCTCCCACCTAGGACTGGTAGGAGGGCTTGCACTCCTGCAACTCCTCAACAAGTCCTGGAAAATTTCCACTCTACCCCACAGTTGGAAGAGGGCTGACATGATTTCCATCCCAAAGCCAAAGGAGCCAGCGGTTCTAATGTTTCCTTTCGTCTCCTGGAGAATTTCACGCTCGATGCCTTACAGGACCAGGGTCATTTTGGCCTTCTTTTCGGGTGAGAGGACGGAAGAGAATGTTTTTCTTGGGGGGGTCTCCTTGCTTACTTTTAGAAAATATTATTGATACAGTCGTCTTTTTCATGTATTGCCGTGTAGTCCTCTGGAGCGTCACATAGTTGGATAACCTTAATTTTTAAGCTGAAGAGGATCCCCATGAGCTCCACCCTCTTCTCGAAGGTGTAGTCCCCCTGGGCTTCACGGACCTTAGCTATTAGTGCATGCCTCTAGGTACGTAAAGGTATGTGATATAGCTTTTTATTTGGTTTTATTTCTTCTATTTTATTTTATTCATTTACTGGTGCCTGCCTAAGCCACTGCCGACTGGATCACGGATCACAAACCTACCCCCCACCTCCTCTTGGTTGGGCCGTGTAGATGGTCCTGTGGCAAAAAGTGGGGTCCTTGAAGGGTGCCTAGCCCTAGCCCTACTCACTGGAGTGGCAGACTTACAAAGGTCTGCAGTCCTGACCCTCCCCCCCTGGGAAAACGGGTGAGGCTGTCTGGTGGACATTCCCGACGCCCTGACAGGGTGTGGGACTGCGAGACCGAGTGAATACCACCACGTTTGGGACGATCGTTGGCCAAGAAGCCAGAGGAAAGTTTGGAATTTAGAGTGGAAGGCAAAAGGAGCTGATATTCAGTCAGGGTGCTGGGCCCTGGCTGTACACATCATGGCAGAAGCTAATCCTGTATGTCAAGGGCTGCGGTCCTAATAGCAGCTTGGTCAAATCCTCTTGGTTTTAGTACAAAAGTATCAATTCAGTGGTATAGAAAGCACCTGCAAAAGTTTGCTATAACTGTAACTCACTTGTTAGTATAGGTAACCTTTGAACTAACTATGCTATGCTGGAGTTGAGTCTAACACTCGGTTCTTTCTATGAGTTCGCCGAGTGCCTCTCTGACAGGAAAGACAGAGAGCATGAGTAGTCCAGAAAACGAGACCATTTATTAAATTAGAGACCGAAGAAGGAGCACATGCTCGTTCGCCAGGTGAACACTCCGCCGCAACCTGCTCCTGCAACCAGTCCCTCTACCTCGACGGTGGGCACCAATGCTGTTCCTTGGCCTCCTGTGATAAGCAGTACTTTGATGAGACAGTCGCCAGTTTCACTATCTGCCTCAGCATAAATGCGCTGTATCCAGGGGACACACTGCTCTCCCGCCGGGCGCAGCGGCCAGCTAGAGAAGCTGAAATCTAGAAGGATTTCAAAACTCTTCTCATTTTTAGTAAATCTACTTTGTGCAGTGTATTTTTTTCTATTTCTCTCACACATATATATTATATACACATATATATGAAGTGTTGCTATGGGCTGTTTTGACAACAAGTGCTACCACGAGAGGGACAGAAGACCACGGGGACCAATGAATGTATTCCCTCTTCGATAACCTTTCTCAAGAGGGAAATCTGAAAGCAGGCTTACTGAGGGAAGCACATTCACAGCAGCAATCAGAATCTGTCATTATGACACGTAATTGCGTTTGAGGCATCACTGGAACAAGAGACAGTTCCTTGAATTTAGGTTGAAAAACATTACTATTCACATCATAAGTTTTATTCAGCAATAAACATTTCTGCTGCAGCAGTGTTACAAATCAACTTCCAGCTTAAAGTTATTCAGGAAAAATGGCAACACTTGGAGACTAAAGCTATGGGTGCAGTGTCTGATAATGCAGAAAAAAAAAAAAAATCACATAAAATACACAAATTAGTCCTTGCCTTTTTAAATCAAATCTAAAAATATTCCGTGTGAAATTCCTTGTGAAATCAGTGTGGCAATATTGACATCACTTACAAAAGTAATCACAGACAAATAGTAAAAATCACAAGAATGAAATAAGTATTGGTTCACTTCAAAGGAATAATACATATCCTAAATATTACTTAGTAACTATGGACCTCAAGGAGATCCATCCATTTTTATAAGAAGCTTAACTTCATCCTTTCCTTTTATTCAAAGGGCCACTCTCCGACGCCGTCTGGGGAGCCGTGGGCGCCAGACCACGGCCGCTCTCTGCCCGACTCTCTTCCTTCCCTCGCCGGCTGGACGGGATTTGTAGTCTGCTCTGTCTTGGGAATTCTGTTAGAGCTTGGGCATGTCAGCCTGCGAGGAATGTAAGCGAAGGCAACGGAAATGGGAGGTGGCCCTCGGACGCTGCGTCTTGAGTGAAATCACGGCTTAAGTGTCAAGAAAAAAGACAATAAATTTGCTCCATAAAAATAGTTTCCTGTGTCTAACTTTAAGGAAGAAGCCCCGTCCCTCCTATGCACCCAGATGAACACAGCCTATGGGCGCGCCTCCAGCAGCGCACGGGCGGCTTCAGCAAGCGCCTGCGCGTCCTCCTGGCAGCCCGAGAGGAAGGCCCGCGCCTTCGTGGCCAAGAGACTCCACTGGTCCCGCGCCTCCGCGTGCCGCTTCTCCAGCAGGGCCAGCGCCAGGGCCGTCGCCCACGCCGCCTCCGTCTGCGGACAAGCACAGGAAGCTGAACGAGGGAACCATTTCCGTCAAAGCATAATTTTTTTCAATCTTATCCGAAGGATATGCAAGTGAGTGAGTGAGTGAGTGAGTGTGTGTGTGTGTGTGTGTGTGTGTGTGTGTGTGTGTGTGTGTGTGTGTGTGTGCGTGCGTGCGTGCGTGTCCGAGCACTACTCCCCCCTGACGTGGAGAAGCACACCTCCCCAGCAAGAGGACCAAAGCAAGGGAAAGAGCGCGTCCCGCATGCCAGAGACAAACCGCCTTCGCCTTCCGTACCTTGGCTGGATTCCTCTCCCTAAGCACGGCGCACGCAACGCCGCACAGCTCAGCCACGTCCTCAAGGAGCCAGGAGCCGTCGAACCTCTGCTTGCTCACGAGGGCCACCAGGGGGTCGCTGTCTGCACGCTGGAAGGGAGAGGAGGGATGAATGGTTGGGGGGGGGGGGGAGAAAGAGGGTGAGGGGAAAGGGGGAGGAAGAAAGAGGGGCTGTGGATTGGGAGAAGGGAGGGGGAGGGAGAGGGGAAGAGGCAGAAGAGGGGAAAGGGAGAAAGATGGAGAGGAGGTGGAGAGGGAGAAATAGGGAGAGGAAGGGGAGAGAGAGAGAGAAAGAGACAGACAGACAGAGGGAGAGAGAGAAAGAGACAGAGGGAGAGAGAGAAAGAGACAGAGGCAGAGAGAGAAAGAGACAGAGGGAGAGAGAGAAAGAGACAGAGGCAGAGAGAGAAAGAGACAGAGGCAGAGAGAGAAAGAGAGTGACAGAGAGAGAGAAAGAGTGACAGAGAGATTGACAGAAAGAGACAAACAGAGGGAGAGAAAGAGACAGAGGGAGAGTCAGAAAGAGAGGGAGGGAGGGAAAGGGAGGAAGAGAGAGGGAGGGAGAGGGAGAGAGAGGGAGGGAGGGAGAGGAAGAGGGAGGGAGAGGGAGAGAGAGAGGAAGAGGGAGGGAGAGAGAGAGAGGGAGGGAGGGAGAGGGTGAGCTGAATGCAAACAACACATTAATACATCTTGCCATGCAAAGTACAGAAGTCATTTTCTGCAATTGAAATACTGCTTAATATCTTTAATGCCAATGTTTTACTGATAACCAATGAAATTCACTAACCTGAATACTTTCAGGTTGGCCACCAAACTGCTGAAAGAAAGGAAAAATAAAAATAGTAGTCTTTGCAACATGCAATAATCATTTAACTTATTTTCTGTTTTCACCCATCAAAAATGTTTTACTGCCACAAAAAGTGACAAATTATTACAAAAAATCTCAAGAGGAAAGGGATGAAAAAAATCTTTATCACAATATATCTGAACTAAATGTAACTTGACTGTTAGAAATTACATTAAAATTGCCAATATATATTTTGCTTTCAGAGAGAGAGAGAGAGAGGGAGAGATAGAAAGAGAGAAAAAGAGAGAGAGAGAGAGAGAGAGAGAGGGAAGGGAGGGAGGGAGGGAGAGAGAGAGAGGGGGGGGGGGGGGGGAAGGGAAGGAGGGAGGGAGGGAGGGAGAGACAGAGAGAGGGGGGGAGAGAAAGAAACAAAGAGAGAGGGGGGGGGAGGCAGAAGGAGGGAGGAAGGGAGAGAAAGAGAGAGGGAGGGGGAGAGAAAGGAGAAAGAGAGCAGAGAGAGAGAGAGTATTCTAGGGAGAGGGGGAGAAAGAGAGCAGAGAGAGAGAGAGGGGGGAAGGGAGGGAGGGAGGGAAAGAGGGAGAGAGCAGAGAGAGAGGGGGGGAGGGAGAGGGAGTGGGAGAGGGAGAGAGAGAGAGAGCAAGATACAGATACCACTCTAATTCACTGACAAGCAACCAAAAGTATCAAGTAAATTTGACTCACTTTGGCAGAATCTGGAGACATTCCCCAGTTGCCACGAGGACGCTATCCAATGAAAATCAGAAATGCTAATAAGTCATTATAACTGAAAGAAATTCTCTCATCTCTAAAAATGGTTTTCATCTACCTTTTCACATTTGTAGGATAAATTAAAAATACAATAATAGTTATTATCATGAACACATTAACATATATAACATATATGCATATATGTAAGTGAATATATGTATGAGAGAGAGACAGGGACAGAGAGAGAGAGAAAGAGCGAGAGAGAGAGGGGGGGGGGGAGAGAGAGAAAGAAAGAAAGAGAGAGAGGGGGGGGGGAGAGGTAGAGGGAGACGGAAGGGGGAGGGAGGGAGACGGAAGGGAGAGGGAGGGGGAGAGAGAGAGAAAGAGAGAGTATTCTAGGAAGAGGGAGAGAAAGAGAGCATAAAGAGAGAGAGATACACAGAGAGAGAGGGGGGGAGGGAGAGGGAGAGAGAAAGAGCAGAAAGCAGAGAGAGAGAGAGAGAAAGAGAGAGAGTACTCCAGGGAGAGGGAGAGAAAGAAAGCAGATCCCTTTTATTCACTGACAGGCAACCTTAACTAACAGGTAAATATTACTCACTGGGGGAGGAGCTGCACAGCCAAGGGGAGACTGGAACCATCCAATGAAAATCGGAAATGTTAGTAACTCTTCACAAATTTCATTTGTTTCTAAAAATAATTTTCAAGCACCTTTTGCTGCAAGATTCATGTGTTACTTTCATAAGATACAATAAAAATACAAGAGTTATTATCATTGTTGAGAGAGAGAGAGAGAGAGGGCAGAGAGAGAGAGCGAGGGAGAGAGAGAGAGAGAGAGAAGAGAGGAGAGAGAGAGAAAGAGAGGTGGGGGTAGAGAGAGAGATATAGAAGAAGAAAGAGAAAGACAGAGAGAGAGAGAGAGGGGGGGTGGAGAAAGAGAGAGACACATATAGAAAGAAAGAAAAAGACAGAGAGAGAAAGAGAGAGAGAGAGAGAGAAGGGGGAAGAGGGAAGGGGGAGGGAGGGAGAGGGAGAGAGAGAGAGAGGGAGGGGGAGAGAAAGAAAGAGACATAGAGGGAGAGAGAGAGAGGGGGGGAGAGAAAGAGAGAGGGAGGGGGAGAGAGAGAGAGAGAAGAGAGAGAGAGAGAGTATTACAGGGAGAGGGAGAGCAGAGAGAGAGAGAGAAAGAGTATTCCAGGGAGAGGGAGAGAAAGAGAGTAGAGGGAGAGAGAGAAAGAGAGCAGGAGAGAAAGAGAGCAGAAGGAGAGAGAGAGAGAGACTCAATGTGAGGTGAAATCAAACAACACATTAAAACATCTTGCCATGCAAAGTGCAGAAGCCATTTTCTGCTATTGAAACACTGCTTAACATCTTTAATGCTAATGTTTTACTGATAATAACCAATGAAATTCACTAATTTGAGCACTTTCATGTTGGCCATCATACTGTCCAAGAAAGTAATAATTAAAATATTAGTAGTTTTTGCAAAATGCAATATTCACCTGACTCATTCTTCAAAAATGATATTGTAAGAACAAACAAGACTCCTGTTTACTGCCACAAAAAGTGACTAAACAAAAAAGCTAATCTTATTTTCCATTGTAAATAAGTGAAATATCTTCACTTTAGCACACTGGACACCTATATATCAAAAGGAAGTAAAGTATATCAGTAGGCTTTGCAACAAACATTTATTTACTTTTTCCTTCATGCTTTTCATTCACTAAAAGATGTATTATATGAAAAGACAAAATTGATGTTTCACTTTCATGAAAATAGTGACTTTTATCACTTTCATCATCATAAATAAACTAGTGAAAGTTACTGAAATATGGCTTATTATTAGTTAATGTTAACATTTTACTGATAATCTGTGGGGCCAAAACTGCCGAAAGAAAGGAAAAATAAAAATAGTAGTCTTTGCAACATGCAATATTCATCTAATTTATTCTTTGTTTTTCATCCATCAAAAGTGATATTGAAAGAACAGACAAGACTACTGTTTTACTGCCACAAAAAGTGACAAATAATTACAAAAAATCTCATGAGCTAAGGGCTGAAAAATATCTTTATTACAGTATATCTAAATGTATCTGGGGAGAGGGAAAGGGAGAGGGAGAGAGCGGGGGGGAGAAAGAGAGAGACATAGAGGAAGAACGAGAAAGAATGAGAGAGAGAGAGAGAGAGAGAGGGAGAGGAGAGGAGACGGAGTGGGAGAGAGAGAGAGAGGACAAGAGAAGGAAAGAGAGGAGAGGGAGAGGGAGTGGGAGATAGAGAGGGAAGGAGGGAGGGAGAGAGAGAGAGGGGGGGGGAGAAAGAGAGAGAGGGAGGGGGAGAGAGTAGAGAGAGAGAGCGGGGGAGAGAGAGAGAGAACTCTTATTGACTGACAGGCAACCAAAATTATCAGGTAAATTTCACTCACGTCGGCAGAATCTAAAAACACTGTAGACTTGCCACCACGAACCTAAGCAATGAAAATCAGAAATGTTAATAAGTCATCATAACAGAAAGAAATTCTCTCATCTCTAAAAATAGTTTTCATCTACCTTTTGCTACAAGACTGATATGTCACTTTCATAAGATAAATTAAAAATACAATAATAATTATTATCATTAACACATTAACATATATAACATATATATATATATGTATGTGTATATATGTAGAAGAGAGAGAGAGAGAATGAGAGAGAGGGAGAGGGAGGGAGGGAGGGAGAGAGAGAGAGAGAGGGAGGGATAGAGAGAGAGGGAGAGAGAGATAGAGAGAGGATAAATAAACTGGTGAAAGTAACTGAAATATAGCTTATTTAATGTCAATGTTTTACTGATAATAAATAATGAAATTCACTAACCCGAGCCCTTTTACGGCACCCAAACTGCTGTAGGCAAGGGAAAATAAAAATAGTAGTCTTTGCAACATGCAATATTTATCTAACTTATATTCTGTTTTTCACCCATCAAAAGTGATATTGCAAGAACAGATAAAACTGCTATTTTCCTGCCACAAAAAGTGACAAATAATTACAAAAAAATCTGAACTATCTGAACTAAATGTATCTGGAGAGACAGAGAGAGGGGGGGGGAGGGAGACGGAAGGAGGGAGGAAGGGAGAGGGAGGGAGAAAAAGAGAGAGAGAAAGGAAAGAGAGAGAGAATGAGAAAGAGAACAGAGAGAGAGAAAGAGCAGAGAGCAGAAAGAGAGAGCGAGGAGGAGAGAGAGAGAGAGAGAGAAAGGGAGGGTGGGAGGGAGAGAGAGAGCAGAGAGCAGAAAGCGGGGAGAGAGAAAGAGAGCAGAAAGCAGAGAGAGAGAAAGAGAGAGTATTCTAGGGAGAGGGAGAGAAAGAGCAGAGAGAGAGAGAGAGACAGAAAGAGAGAGACCGAGAGAGAGGGGGGGAGGGGGGAGAGGGAGACAGAAGGAGGGAGGAAGGGAGAGGGAAGGAGAGAAAGAGAGAAAGAGAGAGAGAGAGAGAGAAAGGAAAGAGAGAGAATGAGAAAGAAAGCAGAGAGAGAGAGCAGAGAGAAAGAGAGAGAGAGAGAAAGGGAGGGAGGGAGAGGGAGAGGGAGAGAGAAAGGGAGAGAGAGAGAGAGAGAAAGAGAGAGTACTCCAGGGAGAGGGAGAGAAAGAAAGCAGATCCCTTTTATTCACTGACAGGCAACCTTAACTAACAGGTAAATATTACTCACTGGGGGAGGAGCTGGAGCCGCAAAGCTCTGGAACTATCCAATGAAGATCGGAAATGTTAGTAACTCTTCACAAAATAAAGAATTTCTTTTGTTTCTAAAAATAGTTTTCAACCAACCTTTTGCTGCAAGACTCATGTGTTACTTTAATTATTAATTATTATCATTATTACCATTAATATCAATATTATTATAGTCATGATGATAATGACAATTGCCTTTACTTCTAATTACTGCTGAATTAAGAAAATTAAAACTTGCATCAATAAATGAAATGAAAAGACAATGCAAAGGAATTACAAAATTAAACTCAATGTGAGCTGAATTCAAACAACACATTAAGACGTCTTGCCATGCAAAGTACAGAAGTCATTTTCTGCAATTGAAATACTGCCAATGTTTTACTGATAACCAATGAAATTCACTAACCTGCAAACTTTCAGGTTGGCTACCAAACACCTAAAGGAAAGTAAAAATAAAAATATTAGTAGTCTTTGCAATATGCAATATGAAATGAAAAGACAATGAAAAGGAATTACAAAATTAAACTCTTTAACTAAAACTCAATGTGAGCTGAATTCAAACAACACATTAAAACATCTTGCCATGCAAAGTACAGAAGTCATTTTCTGCAATTGAAATACGGCTTAATATCTTTAATGCCAATGTTTTACTGATGACCAATGAAATTCACTAACCTGCAAACTTTCAGGTTGGCTACCAAACAGCTAAAGGAAAGTAAAAATAAAAATATTAGTAGTGTTTGCAATATGCAATATTCATTAACTCATTCTTTGAGTTTCTCAACCATCAAAAATGATATTG